AGGCCCTCCTTTGATAACTCCACGTAAGCACCACTCATAAATAAATAAATAAGTAAATAAATAAATGTGATAAAAATGATGGAAAACTGATGTAAAGACATATTTTCCACATTTAAACACTTCTTATATTAGAATGGGTTTAAAAATTGATAAATAAAGGTCCATACCACACCATTAGACATTGTGATGGTTTCTCAGATTTGGTGAAATAGTGTGTATTTCAAACTACACCACTCATAAATAAATAAATAAGTAAATAAATAAATGTGATAAAAATGATGGAAAACTGATGTAAAGACATATTTTCCACATTTAAACACTTCTTATATTAGAATGGGTTTAAAAATTGATAAATAAAGGTCCATACCACACCATTAGACATTGTGATGGTTTCTCAGATTTGGTGAAATAGTGTGTATTTCAAACTACTGGGAGATTAAATTCTCTATTACTTGATGAGGGAAAGGGGCCCTTGAAAAAATAGTCTGTCTTTTTTCCCTTCAAATCAATGGTTTAATTAATTTCTTTATTTTGGATTGTACTGAAGACTGAACCTAGGGCCTCATGTATGTGAGACAAGTTCTCTACCACCGAGCTGGCTCTACCACCGAGCTATCCAGCTCCAGGCCCCCAAATGTAATGTTCACAAACATGCTCTGAACAAAGCTATTCACAAGATTTCTTCTTTCCTTCTCATCCTCTCCCTCCATCCCTCTCTTTTTTTCTGACAGGGTCTCACTATTTATCCTAGGTTGGCCTTGAACTCAGTCTTGCCTCTGCCCTCTGAGTTCTTTGATTGATTACACACCTGTTTCCTATTTCTTTTTCTAATGAAATGGTTTCGTGGATGAGATCGACATTGCACCGGTTTTGTAGGTCAGAAATAGTAGTCATTTTAAACTTTCGTTATGAGCTAATCAAAACATCTTTCTAACTCATCCATTCCAGCATCTCAGCCCTTCATCCCCCCTTGGGTTCCTTCCTTCCATCCTTCTGTTTTCTGGCCCATCTATCCATCCCTCTCTTTCCCTTTCAGCCAATCCTCTGCTGCCAGATCAACTTGTTTTCATTGTGTTTCTTTCTTGCCCCCCAAATATGGAATAACTTCATTTCCCCCTTTCTACTAGTTCAAGAAAAATGCAGACATTTTTTTCCAGTACCAGGAATTGAACCAGAGGTCGTGTGCATGTTAGGGAGGTACTTTTCTACTGAGCTACATCTCCAGTGTGAAAAATGTAGATTATTATTTTTTTTTACACGATAGGAATCATATGTTATTAGCTAGTGATTTATCATTGCGCTTGAATCCAGTGTAGTTTGTGGACAGGGTGATTTCAGTGTTTTGTGGGTACACTTGCTATACTCTGTATTTCTTCTGTTTTCCTTTCTTGCAGCTGGTCTGGGAAGAACAGGGACGTTGATAGCCTGTTATGTAATGAAGCACTACAGGTTTACCCATGCTGAAATCATTGCTTGGATTAGAATCTGCCGACCAGGTTCCATCATCGGACCCCAGCAACACTTCTTAGAAGAGTAAGTACCCTTTTTGTGTGATCGCATTTCATCTTTGACCTGTCCTTCCTACCTTTTGTTCCCTGGTTGTGGACTGAGTCAAGCTTGGTGTTATAAAATGGCTGCACTGCCAGAGAAGTCTATGTCTCTGATGGATTATTGTTGGCTTGACAGCTAAGGCATTCTGACTTTGTACTTTTATATCTCTCAGATCAGGTGAGAGTAAGAGGAGCGTCACAGAGCTATCTTTGCCTACCCTTTTTCTGTCATTTTCTATATGTGATCTGGCTTCAGTGAAGTTTTCTTCTTTTGTCTGACTTGGCATTGCTCATTCTTTCGTTTGCCGTGTCTAAGAGCAGAATGAATATAAATAACATACCTGGGGCCAGTCACTGGTTTCAGTAAAACAAGTGTGCTGCCCATGAAGCCACAGCTTCTAAATACATCCAAGCAGTTTTCGAGGAATGAAAACGCAAGAGAAGTACGTTTCAGCACTGGCCTGCCACTGCCAGCCCTGTGACCGTTATTTGGAAGATGTCTTATAAATTCATTTACACTCATGTATTAACTTTCTGGCCAGCCCCAGCCAATTGTAGAGAAAGATATCATTTGTAGCAGTGTCCTTTGGAACGCCTGGCTTCCCTTTAAAATATTAAGCACTTACCATCAGTTTACCTATTAATAGAAGGAGGAGATGATTTTTTTTTTTTTTTAAACAGGGTCTGAAGTAGCTTAGGTTGGCCTTGACCTCAGTATATAGCTGAGGATGAGCTTGAACCTCTGGTCCTGCTCTGCTTCTACTTCCTGAGTGCTGGGACTACAGGCATGTGCCACAGTGCTGGGGATCGAACCCAGGGCTCTGTATGCTAGGTGAGCACTGTAACCACCAAGCTACAGCCTCATGAGAGGAGAAGACGAAGTTGCACCAGTTGCTCTCGGTCTGGCTCTAGTATATTGTCAATTGGTGACATCTTCTGGAGAGACTTTGATGCTTTTCTTTCATGTTGGAATGGCTCTGTGCTGAATAGCATTCTTGTCCACATAACGATTCCATTCCAACTTAAATCAGTTTAGTTTGGTAAGAAACAAGTGATCTCCAGTTTCATAGAAAGATGTTGTAAGTAAGTTGTTAGTTTCTGGAATGTTTAAGAAAGTCTGACCCAGAGGAATTACTGACTTCCAATCCTAGAGGGAATAACTGCTCAGAAAATAAGCACTGGGGAATGACAGGAATGCTGAATTTAAAAACATGAAGCAGAGGGGTAATGAGTTTTGAAGAAAAATTATGCACAAGTAGGATCATTAAAAAGAAGTAGCTACACTTTTACCTGTGGGTACAAACAAAATAAAGCTGCTGTTAGGGTTTTCCCCTGGATGAGATTCCCAGGCGTGGAATTCCTGTGCTGTGCCATTGATTCTTCTACAGCATGGGGATGTGTGCTGCTTATTATGTTAATTGCTCAGTCATGTTGACTAGCTGGCCTCAGGATTAAAAACTCAGCACCAAAATATGCCTAAACCTAGTTCTTTATGTTGTTTACTCAGTCTTAAGATGATATTTGGAAGATTGTCCCTTCAAGGGGCTCATCTGAGCCCTCACCTTGCCCAAGGCTCTGTGCTGGATGCAGCTCACAGGAGCCCAGGATACCACTGACTGAGGTCACCTCTTTTGCTCAGGGTTTCAGATTCCACAGCTCTCTCCCTTCCTGCTTGTACCAACCTCCCACTGTGCCCCCCACCCCCACCCCCAATTCTTCTCTGCCTTCTGTCATAAAGGTACCAGAAGAAATTAGGGTCATAAAGCACCTGTACTCTGTGCTGAATCAAAGCTTTTTCATTTATAGGTACATACACTACAAAACTTTGGAAACATCCTTTACTGTGAGTCATACTACAGGTTTCCAGGTATTTGTCTGTGAAAACTGAACTGCAGGAATGACCTACTTACATAGCTAAGCAGTGTAACACTTGGATCAGAACCTTCTCGAAGGCAGATTTCTTTCTGTCATAGGCACTATACATTTTATACTTTGTGATGGGTTTTGAACTGGCATTGGCTCATGGGCTCTCAGGCTTTCTTAGATTGCTTCCTCCGGGGCTGTAGTTCAGGGCTATTCTGCCAACTATTGACCTTGACTTGTTTCTCTTTCTGTTCTCTCCTCCTCTTTGGCCTCTCCTTTCCGAGCCTGTGACTCAGTGTCCCTCACAGGAGACATCATGCATTTAGTGCACTGGGGACACATTCATCCAAAGGCTGTGTATGATGTTCATGCTGTGTGTCAGGCAGTGTTCTTTGTTCCAGAATGTACCTATAACCACACTGAATGTCCCAACCAAGGCTCTTATTATACTTACCTTTCTAGTGGGAGAAGGATGTGATAACAAATATGTGTATTTGCATACACAATTTTGATAGTAAGCACTCTGAAGATGTGATAGAAACCAGGGAGGAGGGTGATAGGCAGGGATGAGGAGAGGTCTTTGCTATGAGAGGTCATGGAGAGCTTCTGTGCAGAGTGCTGAGCATTGCAGGGCAGGAAGGAGCAAGTCCTGTCAGAATCCTAATTGTCTGCCAGGCAGGGCATATGTGAAGGTCCCAAGGTGGAAATACACTTACTGTTTTAAAGTCTAGAGTGAATGCTGAGCTAGGCATGGTAGGGTGTAACTGTAATCCCAGTACTCAGAAAGCTGAGGCAGGAGGACCACAAGTTTAAGGCCAGCCTGGGCTATATAAAGAGTTATAGGTTATCCTTGGAAACAGGGGGATGCTGTCTCAAAAAACCAAAATGGCTGGGCGTGGTGGTACATGCTTTAATCTTAGCACTCAGGAGGCAGAGGCAGGTAGGGCTCTGTGAGATTGAGGCCAGTCTGGTCTACATAGAGAGTTTCAGGCCAGCTGGGGCTATAGGAAACCTTTTCTCAAAAAGACCAAAAAAGAAAAAGAAAAGCAGAAAGCAAAAGCTAGCATGTTTGGAATACAGTAAGCTGGAAGTGGGCATTTGAGAGGTAGCTTCAAAGAATTTACGAAGCAAATACCCCTGTGTTTGAATATGTTCTCCCGTGTCTCTGTTCTCTTCGTGAATGTTTGGTTAGCAGCTAGTTCAGATCGTTGGGTACCCTGTCTATTAGATGTATACTTGTGATGGGTATGTCTGCCTTCAGCTTCAGGACTATTAACCAGCCACTTCTAGGGGTCTAGAGGCTGAGCAGAAGCCTGCCCTGCTGCAGGACTTGTGTGGAGTAGGGAGAAACCTGACAGTGCTTCTGCCTTTGTGGAAGTGTCAGCGCTTAGAGGTCTGAGGGGTTGTGCTACCTAAACACCTTTGTCCATTTCTTTCCCTGACACTTTCTGATATTCCACCCAGAAACATTATTCACATGTCTTTCTGTAGCCATTTTCAACAGCCTCAAGGAGCAGGAGACATAGCTCAGCGGTCCAGAGCATTGACTGCTCTTGCAGAGGACCTAGGTTCAGTTTCTAGTACCCACGTGGCAGTTAACAACCATCAATAACTCCAGTTCCAGGAGAATTGATGCTCTCTTCTGGCCTCTGCAGCATTGCGTGCATGTGGTGCACCTCCATACACACAGGCAAAACATTCATACACATGAAATAAATAAATCAAAAAGGCAAAACATTCATACACATAAAATAAATAAATCAAAAAGGCAAAACATTCATACACATGAAATAAATAAATCAAAAAGGCAAAACATTCATACACATAAAATAAATAAATCAAAAGGCAAAACATTCATACACAAAATAAATAAATAAAAAATGCATTAAGAAATGTAAACATAGCCTTAAACGTTCTCATAAGCTATGTTGTAGCCTAACAGTTTTTTTTCTCTTCCCGTGCTGCTGTTGAGGGCTGACAGACGTCTTTCTGTTAAGTGCAAAGCACTTAGAAGAGACAGCATTTATCTTCTCACTCTTTCAGGAAGTATCCCTAAGTTCCAGTGAAACATTTTTTTTCCCAGTGAAACAACTTTGAAATAGTGATTTTCCATGTTAGTCAGCTTTCTTCTGCTGTGATATGTACTTGGCGAGAATTAGTGTCCCAGGAGGAAAGGTTTATTTTAGTTCAGGACTTCAGAGATTTCAGGCCATGACTGCTTAGTTTGTTGCCTTTGGGGCCAGTGGCAAGGCAGCCTGCTGGTGAAACCGCCCACCTCTTTATGTCTGGGAAGTGGGAGAGAGGGGAGGAGGCACACCCTGTTCCTCTTCAAGAGTACTTTCACCAGCAGCTGAGCCTCCTTGCACTTAGCTCTGCCTCCTAAAGGTTTTCACACCTCCCTACCATTCCATGGGCTAGGAACCAAAACTTCAATACAAGATATTTAGGGGACATTCAGCACCCACTTTGGCATTTTCCCTGTTGGACCTCACTGTTAAATTATCTTTAGGTTTCAGGTTTCCCCAGCGAGTTCTCATGTCTATCACTCTTGTCTATCTTTGAGATCATCTCACAGGTAGCAGGAACCCCTCCCTCCCTCCCTCGCTCCCTCACTCCCTCACTCCCTGCTCCCTCCCTCGCTCCCTCACTCCCTCGCTCCCTCCCTCGCTCCCTCCCTCGCTCCCTCCCTCGCTCCCTCCCTCCCCAATGGACTTTTAAATGCAGAATACTGTGACAGAGAAGTTAGAATGAGGGCATTGCTATATGATAGGGACTCAGTAATAAAGCCACTTAGGGGCCTGGAGAGATGGCTCAGCCATTAAAAGCACTGGCTGCTCTTGCAGAGGACCTGGGTTCGGTTCCCAGCACCTAGACAGCGGCTAACAACTGCCTGTAGCTCTAGTTCCAGGAGATCCAACTGTCTCTTCTGACCTTCAGGACATTTCATGTATTTCATGCCCATGATACACTTGCATACATGCAGACAAAACTCATATACATAAAAGGAAATTCTAAAAAGCCACTTAAGTAACAGAAGTTGCAGTAAAAGTGAAAACTTGATGTTTGACCATGGAGCTCATATATTGGAGCTGGAGAAAAATGTGTGCACAAATGTCTAAA